TTTTTTGCATTTGCATGATAAGTTCTGTTAGGTCTGGTGGCAGGTCGAGCAGAGTCTTAAGAGTGGGTTTCAGACTTCCATCTTGATCTACTTTCCATCCATATTCTTTAATATTAGGAAGCTGCATCTGCGGCTTTAAAGAGCTTAGCCAAATCTGTAGCTGGTAAAAACATATTAAACAATGTAATCTTAGGGCGTCTTTAGTCGATGGAAATTTAGCAATGATTGTGAAGAGGCCACTAATCCCGTCAGAATGTTAATGGAAGTAACATTGACAGTTTTTGAATAAAGTTTTATGAAAAACAAGTTCTTTTCCCAATGCCAGACAATTAGCTGGTTGTATCACAAACGTTCACAGAATGAAAATCAGGAATCATAGAAGGTTTTCATTCAAATTTAAATCATTTAGTGCTATAAATCGTCATGAGTCTCCTCGCCCTATTCTGAACTTCACATTTTTGTCAAAAACTTCTTAAAATAAATTAATAAGACTAGAACATCTGCATTGTTGCAATCAATAATGCAGCGTGAATGACCCAAATTTTTGACTGATAATATGTGGAATAAGATACGAGTATCAGCTTCTTCGTGATTTGAATTTAAGAAATCGTCTTTTGATGGTTCAAAATTGGTCCCATATTTATTGAAATTCGCGAATCCACCACTAGTTACAAATTGAATATGCTTTTGCTGAATGGAATTTTTAAGAAGTTGTTCTGACAAAAAATTTGTTAAACGTCTTTTGTTAAATATCGAATGAATGAACAAGTTCCATTGTTCCATTGATCTGTTAATTTCTATATCAATTGATATCTGGGATCCACTCTTTCGACCTGAATTTTCTTTATAATTATCAAATACCACATCTATCCTTTGAGCATTAAATTTATTTCTAAAAATAATGTTTACAAATATATTAGCATATTCTTTAAAGATATGCAACTTTTGGACTTTCCCAAACCTTAAACTATTGCCATCCCATCAAAAATATAACAAGTTTTGTCAGAGTCAATAGGTGCAGGTAAGTATTTGTAAGTAATGCCATATTGCTCTAAAATATTTCCCAATGAACTCTTATTTGTGGAGATGCCGAGATACCCATTTACTGTCAGCTTAAACTTAAATAGTTTGGCATAAATATTGCTTCTACCCATAACCTTTGCTAATAAAATATTTTGAAGAAAGTGTTAACGATGCAAGGATTGAGAAGTCATATTTTGATATCATTTTTGTCTTTGCTTCTTGCAACAACAAATCTGTAATTAAAATTGTAAACGAAAACTTAAATATATTTAGCATTCAGCTGCAACAGGATGAATGTAGATATAATACAAATGCAAAAAAAATCTATATTTCTTCCCAATTTATTAGGTACTTTAATATGTAACACATACCATACACTTATAAATTTTTTAGTAAAAACAGATAATAATATGAAACATTGTCCATTGGCACCTAACGAGAAGTTTTATAAAAAAAATGAAAAAAAATCTTAGCAAAGCAATAATTTGATGCCGACACGTAGTGAGAAACAGAGCTATGCTACGTTTGAAGGCGAAGAGAAAGATACACTGAGAGTCGATGAACTTGTAGCTAAACTTTTTGATCGTATGAAGTTATTAAAGTTATAAATACAAAGATTCATAGGTGAATTTTCAATTTCTATTGATGTGATAGTTACTTATCTGCTTTTAACAATATCAATACATATGGCTTGGCTTTGGCATAAAACCCTGTGTAGTAAAACTTCAAAATCGAATCAGAATCTTGATATTATTATTTGGAAACTTAAAAACGTGATCCACTTGTTGATGTAGCCTTTCAAAATATTAATTGCAACTTGTAAAATATGACATTAATCATGCCTTAAATGGATTGCTACTACCATGTTTTAGAAATAAATAAAATGTAACTATTAAATTAATAAACATATTTCAAATAATTTAATGTTAATAAAAGTGAAACAAAATTTCTCACCATTTATTTGGTATTCTTCCATTAGCTCTGCTGTCAACTAGTTCTGGTAAGGCATTTTGCATATAAAAATGTTGAATTTTATGTTGCTCCATTTCTTCCCAAAAGCTGTCATTATGAGGAATTTTCTCCACTTTTATTCCTCGAGGAGTCCAAACGCATAAAATACAAAAATCCATTTGTGTAATGTTCAGCTAGCCCTGAATTTGAAAATACCAATTGTGGTTGCCCTTAATGGTATTGTCCTTTTTCTAAAAAGTTATTTCTCTACTGCATATTCCTTCTTCTATATATGGACATTTTAACTCTATCATAGAGCGTGTTTTGTTTTGAATTCCATCCGGACTGGCAGCAACATAATCTAAATTCGGAACCAATAAAAAGTCCACATATTCAACTATTTCTTGCAAATACATTTCCAAATCTTATTTATTGTTCATGTCATATTGGGTGGCATTAGTAAAAAATAAAAGATTTTATGAGATTTCTTAGAAGACCTTTCCTTTTTTTACAAATGTCTTCAAATTTTGAAGCAGTGACTCGTTTTCGTCTTTCATTGTGCCACAATGCACAATCATCTTGATCTCGTGCCACACTTGATTTTTTTTTTTCATCTATAAGCATTGGAAAATCTTCTTTTGCAACGCGCATCAAAGAGTGCGACAGATCAAAGCCACGCGCAAGAAAAATGATTTATTTAGTTCGAAAAGTATACATTACTTTAAAAGATTAAAGAGTTGTTAACATGCTGGAATTAATTATTCTTAACTCGAAGACATTAAAAAAAAATTTTCGTGCAATATAAAAGTTAATTTATAATTCACATCTCACTGTATACCTTTTAATTTCAGATATATTTTTTAATAAATTAAATAATTTAAAATAATTGAGCGAAATTACTGTATGTAAAAAATAAAGTGTACAGACATAAAACAAAATAAATTCAAATCACTTGTACTGTTGTTTATCACTTGTAAATAGTAGAAAAGGATATACATTTTGTTGGTGTCACCCTCTAGACGAAAAAGCTTTTAACGTATTTTGTTTTTCATTTTTATTGTGAGAAAAATAAATGCTCCTGTAGGTAGAAATTAAATATATTGTTCCCCTCTATAAAGCATTAATAATTGTAAGAAAAGTAACGCCTTTTGGATTAAATGGGATATTTACAAATATATCAGCACCAAGTAAGTTTTATTTTACTCATCCGAAAACCTGGCCACAATGAAAAAAAAAAAAAAAAAGATTTGAGCGGTATTTATCGGTCGGTGGATTTAGCACATAAACCGATAAGGAAACAGTTGATATGCTACTTTATCTGATAGGAAATAGGGCAGAAGAAATAGTATCACAGTTTAACAGAAACACAGATGACTATGCATCTGGTATTAACAAATTCAATGAACATCTTATCCCTCAAAAGAATGTAGATTGTGAGGGTACAAGGATCTGTGTGTAGTTAATGCAATCTGTTGTCACAGCAAGTGTCGTGGTTATTCTAGATATTAAAGCGATAGATTACAAGTACAAATTAATTTGACCTTGACTAATTTTAAGGCAAGAAAGTCGTAAAAGTGATTAAGCAAAGTCAGCCAAACAACTTCAAAAATAAAATCTGAAATGTGGCTATTGCGGTCTAAATATCGAAGTATATGTCCAGCTAGGGATGCTTTTTGTCGGAGCTGCAACTGGAAACGACACTGGAGCAGTGAGTGCCGTAGAAAACACAGTCATGAATCTACTGTTAGTAATATTCAGACTTTAGAGGTATGAAACACAGATCATTGTGATTTGTTGACATCACTATCAATAATAAATTTAAGAAATCATATTTAATGTCAGATAAACATTTGCCATCTGAGTATTTAAAACAAGTTTTGAGTTGCAATGAACACTAGGTGTAGCTGATATCACAAATTTAACTGCTTTAAGGAAAATTTAACTTTGACTAATAAGCAAAATGATTACTCTGTATATCATTAAAGATTTGACGGTTTTTATCCTTGAGAGTTCTACATATACCAGAAACAATTAATAAGCTAAGGTTAAAAAATATATTATAAATAATCCTACCCTAAGCATAAAAAGTAAATTTAATGAACAAATCCTAATTGCTGCAAGATTTCAGGGTTTTTGATGATGTAGGAGAAATTTCGTTTGCAATGACAATACAGGTTTCTGCAGAAGCCAAGCTGTTTGTGCAGTCAGTACCTAGAACAATAACTTTATAGCTTATGCCTAAATTAAAAGCAAAATTGGATCGTTTATTAAGACTAGACATTATAATAGAACATATAGATATACCAACAAAATGGGTAAGCCCTATAGTTTGTGTAGATAGAGGGGATTCAGTTGGTTTGGATTAAAGCAGAATGTTTTAAGAGCGCATATCCCTTTAGTCTATACTGTGCACAAAATAATAAGTTAGTAGAGAAGATGGTGTAGACAGGAAAATATTTAATAATAAAGAATAAGTCTGAAATTCATTAAGCCCTGTTAGCTAATCGCACAACCTCTTTGAATTGCAAGATGCGCAAAATTTCTTTTGGGTATAATGTGTTATAAGAAAACCCTTTAAAATTCCATGTATTTAAAAATCCAATCGAAGATAAAAAATCACATTAGAAAACCCTTTAAAATTCCATGTATTTAAATATCCAATCGAAGATAAAAAATCACTCTTGCAATATGAATTGATATATTGACTTAAAGACAGTTTTGGGGACTACTATTTAATGTTGGATGCTTATAAAACGAAAGATATGACGAGTGACTATGTATGATTAAATCTTCTAGATGCAAAGTTTCTAAAAGCAATTTAGTTTTGAAATTACGGAACCGATGGCCTGCTAGAAAAAAATCAATTTTTTAGAATAATCTAGTTGAATTATTTATAAGAAAGATGTGGGCAGTAATTCGTAATTTTCTCTTACGCAAACATTATTAACTCATCTTTTTATCGTAATTAAATTAAACATTCGTAGAAAATGCGTCATAGCTAATCAATTTTTTTATTTTGATTTCAGGAGGAGGCAGAATTGAGAAAATTCGAATTTCGCAAACTGATTGACGAGCACGACGCCCTCGTGAAAAATCTCAAGAAAATGGAAAAGGAAAATTCCTCCACCTCCACATATTTACACTCGCCTATTATGACGTAATGATAGAGATACCGTTTTAGAAAAATGTTTGTTTAGGATTGTAAGTTTTTTTTTATTGCATAAACGTATCATAAAAGAGGAGAAATTAAAAAGAAAAACAAAACTTCCAAGAACTGAAAGTATTTTTATTAATAAAATCCAGGGAGATTTAAGGGGGAAATATCCCCTCTAAAAATTTGTACTCTATTAAAAAATAGTAATGTTACGAAGATTACTAAAAAAGTAATTTTGAAATCAATAACATAGATAACAATTTTCAAAACTCATACCTCCTCCCAAACAAGTTCTGCAATTGTTAAAAAACTGTATATGTATTTTTTTACTTTTCAATAAGAATATTTAAAATTAGAAAAAAAAATTAAGTTCAAATAGTATTAAAATTGTTTAAATGCACTCTAGATTCAAATGAGTTAAACGATTTTACATCAATGGAATTAATCAATTATAAATTGTAATCTTACCTATTTATATCCTCTTTATGATACGCCTATGCAAAAATTATGCCGAGAATGTATCGGTGAAAAATAAAATTTAGATATAGCTTTTAAGATATTTATTTTTGTATAATTAGTAAGTAAACTAAAGAAAAAAATTTGAACATTGTTTAATATACTTTAAAATCACAAATTTAAGGATTTATTCAAATTTTAAAAAATATTTGTTTTAAAATTTTGTTTTTAATAAAGTAGGAATATTTTGTGAATTTTCTACATATTTAAAAAAAAACACTGGACTACAATTTATTTTTTCAATGTAAATACTTTTTATTAATATTTACATTACTTATATCTACTATACTTTAATTAAACACTGATCTATATGGTCTAAGATCCGGGATAAGGTCAACCTTCACTCATTTGTTTAACGGATGAAAGTTTTTTTTTTATTATGTCTATAAATATACTGCAAATAGGTTACCTAAAAAAATACGGTCACAAAACCCTATAAACTATTCCCCAGATGCTTCGACTATGCCCAAAATTTAATCAGGTCACCGGAGGATGGCTTTAAGCTTAAGTTTAAAATTTGGTGTTTTTCTCTTGATCCGTTTTTTAAGGAAATCATGTATAGGACCAAAATTATAGAGAATGACTATACAAGCAACTTTTATCATAATTCCTAAACTTTTATTATATTATCTGTGTACAAAAAGGAAAGTAAAAAATGACCGTGGCAGTATTTTCTCAGACAATTCATTTGCGGTATATTTTATTTAATAAAAAAAAAAAAACGTTAAACGATGGGTGAAGGTCGAGCTTACTTCGGAACCTATACTAATACATTTTGAGAGTTTTTGCAAATTTAATTTAGATAAAGTATTGTATTATAAAAATAATAGCGATGCTCAAAACGTAGCATTATGAAGACTGCTTATAATAGGGTACATTTTTTAAAAAATACTGTTAGATATATGTCAAAACTCTTTACTGTAGGATTTGTAGAGAAGTGTCAAATAAAATAATTCTTACCAAATAGCCTTTTGTTTTATTTTATTTCAAAATTTCTTGATAGGGCATATAAACAGGTTCTAATTTTTGTTAATATTACATTTTTCGGAGGATCCCGTTTTAAGACCCTTATCCAATGTTTATAAATTATTGTCAAGCTGAATAGGCCCATTAGAGAAAGTTCAGAGGCATAAATCCCATCCAGCACATACTCTAATAGCACAGTATCGTTACACGAACGTTCCAGAAACATGCACTTGACATATTAAAAACGTCTCTGTCATGTTTCTCATTCTCCCTAAAACGTACCAAGGATGTTTCTGGCAATGACCATGTCATCATTTGTAACGTATTAAAGACGTTAGTGAGACATCCTGTGATGTTGCTTAAACGTTTTAGGTAAGTTTTTTTATAATATTACTGGAACGTTCCAGAAATGACCTAAACTGTTTTTTTTTTAGTAGGATAATCAAATTTATTACTTTTATAAATTCACATAGGTACATTTATTTAAAAAAAAATTGTGACACGAAAATAAAATTATTACGCTCTGATTCATTGCGTCTATTTCTTTCCGGAACCTTCCACAACCAGTTACCTATTTTAATTTCCATTTCCATTTTCTGAACCGAATCTGAAAATAATGTTTCAGTTAACTGACAATACAAACAGTTGATATTAAGTTAAAATAATTACCCACAATGCCTTTATTATTTCTATTCTTAAATTTAATATTTATGTTGTTTGTATCTATAGATCACCAAATTCAAATGTTTCAGTTTTTTTTAAACAATTTGGAATCTTTGCTAAGTAGATTTTCTACAACATCTAAAATAGTTTTAACAGGTGACTTAAATATAGATTATCTCAAGGATGATGATAATATTACTATTAGATTAAAACATTTATTAATTTCCTTTAACTTAAGTATGCATGTTAAGGAAGCAACAAGGATAACGGAATGTACCGAAACGTTACTTGACTATTTCTGTACGTCTTATGAACCTGCTAATATATCGTGTACAGTGAATCCCAGCGGTCTGTCTGATCATGAAGCCGTTTTAGCTTCGATATCTCTTGAGCATAAGCTTCCTAAGACTAATTATCGTCATGGTCGATTATTTAGTAAATCTAATTATGGAAAATTTCATTTAGTATGTAAAAATTTTAATTGGTACAGTTGCTTTACTGGTATATCTCCTTTTAACGATTTTTATTTAAATTTAAGCAAATTTTTTAATGCATCTTTCCCTATTCAAAAAATAAAAATTAAGCCAAAAAAGCCGTGGATTACAGCTGGTTTAAGATGTTCATAAAAAAATATGAGATCTCTCAACTATATAAAAAAATTTACGCAAAATAATTTATTTTTAAACTATTATTATCGCTACAGATCTTTATATCGAACACTTATTAGAAAAGCTAAAGATATGTACCTATCATACAAGAATCGAGAGCTCAAAAAATAAGGCAAGGGAAACTTGGTCTATTATTAATGAATTGAGAGGCAAAAGTACCCATAAATCATGCAATGCAAATATAAATCCTAACGATTTCAATACATTTTATTGCAATATCGCTGAAAATCTAACAAAAAATCTAAATAGAACAACTGACCCATTAGAATTTTAAAATCGTCTCCAATTAAATATTCATTTTTCTTAAGAGAAACAAATTCCTTAGAAATATTAAAAGTTTGTAATGACATACACAACAAAACTGCATCAGGACATCATGGAATGTCAGTAAAAATATTTCAAAACTTACCTACCTCTGCATTAGACGTTTTATCCATTTTAATAAATAAAAGTTTTATTGAAGGTACTTTTCCTCCCTTTCTTAAAACAAGTGTTGTGGTTCCATTATATAAGGGAGGAGACTTGACTGAGCCATCTAATTTTAGGCCCATATCTCTAATTCCGACACTCGGAAAAATTATTGAGAAACTTGTAAAAACTCGACTAGTTAGATATCTAGACCAAAATAATATATTGGACATAAATCAATTCGGTTTTCAACACAACAAAAACGTATCGGACGCTGTTTCTTCTTGTTTGGAATTAGCTTATACAAGTTTAAATTTCAACGAGGCCGTAGCTGCAGTATTTTGTGATCTGACTAAAGCTTTTGACAGTGTCAACCATGGAGTACTGCTGCAAAAGATTGAAATTTATGGCATAAGAGATGTGACCTTGAGTTGGATGAAATCCTACCTTTTAGGTCGCAAACAGTTAGTCCGAACTGTTTCAGACTCGAACACAAGTGACATAAAATGGGGTGTCCCTCAAGGTTCTGTTCTTGGGCCCACCCTGTTTTTAATTTATATCAATGATTTAGGTAAGTAAAATATCTCAGGAAGCTTCACTCTATTTGCTGACGATACTACTGTCTTGTGGCACAATAAATACGTCAATATTCTTTATGCAAATATTAGTAGGTAATGACATAAAATCCTTTAAAACATGGTGCACTGCAAATTTTCTGTCATTAAATTTAAAAAAAACAAAAATACTAACCTTTAAATGTAATGTTCCTGATATTTTAATAGATATGGATACTGTAGAAGCCACAAACTGTACAAAATTTTTGGGTTTAAATATCGACATGGATTTGAAATTCGAATCTCATGTGGATTCACTTTTAAAAAAACTCGCATCGGGTTGTTATGCCATTAAAACCATCTCTCATGAATTGGGAGTTTGTGGAGCAAAAATTGCATATTATGCGTTAGTTGACTCCTATCTACGTTATGCTGTTCAGTTTTAAGGAGTCTGTTCTGCCGAGTTATTTGACAGAGTCTTTATAATGCAGAAACGGGCAATAAGGTTCTTATATGGAGCACACAGATTAGTTTCATGCAGACCGCTGTTCTTAAAACAAGAAATATTAACATTAACATCTTTATTTATCTTAGAAACTTGTTGCATGATCCATAAGAACAAGTCGAAATATAAATCGAATACATCCCGTGTAACGCGCCAAACGGGTAACTTGAAGTTGCCTATTCCCAAAACTGAACTAATAAGAGACTCTTTTATATACAATGGTATCAAAATGTACAATAGGCTATCACATACGTTGACAGATGTTGAGTCACAGAATTGTTTTAGAAAGCTGCTCAAGAGATTTCTGTTAACTAGGCCTTATTATAATATTATATATATATATATATATATATATATATATATATATATATATATATATATATATATATATACATCATTCTATCATTGTTGCGTCCATCAACATCCTAATCAAATATCTTATTGCGTCCTTTGAATTATTGCGTCCGTATATCGGACGCAATAATGTCATCCCATGTAAACCCATGTATCAGCGGGTTCCCGCCAATTTTTAAACAAAATTTTAGCGCGAACAGCTGACAGAACTTTATAGGTTTCCATACGTTCATAAAACTAGGCTGTATCTAGTATGGTACTTATGATTGTACAGGTTTTTCAATTTGGTGGTGGACGCAATAATATTAGTGTTATAGATGAAAATGTATATTATTAGTTCAACGATTCTCCGGTAGAGGTGCGAAGATAGTATACATACTCAAGTATACACTTTATAAACGAAGTATATTATTGCGTCCGAAACGTGGCAACATTGTAATCTATTTTTAGACTTGGAGTATGTTCATGTTTCCAGCTGTATTAAAAAATTTATATTTGCAGAGCTGCATAAGTTGTTTAGTGCTTCTTAGCAGAGGCATCATAATTGGAAGAGAGGGGGGAGTAAACGTTTGTATGAGAGTACCGAGGTAGGAAATTGAAATTGTATCGAAAATAAATAATGACATGTTTCGGGGATTTTGTATTTTCACATTTAATGGAGGGGTAACGGGGGAGGGGGTTAGTTTTTGGGAGTGTCAGGTTTTTAAAGGCAGAAACTTGAAAATTGAAATTATAGTGACTTTTCATAAATCAATAATTATATATTTTAGGGTTTTTTGGATTTTCACATATTAAGGGGTAAAACGGGGTTGAGAGTGTGTATGGGAGTATCGGTTTTTAAAAGTAAAAACTTGAAAATTTACTGAGTCTAGAAAGCTAAAATTTGAAACATAGGTTTATTTTATAACGTAAGCTTTCGTTAAGAAATAATCTTTGGAAATTTTAACTTTAAAGGGGAAAAGTGGGAAGAAATGGGGGGAAAGAGCTTTTAATGAAACTCTTTGTTCTTTAAAGTTAGAAACATCAATATTTAAATTACAGCTACGGACTACAAATTATTATTAATGACGTGTTTCAGGGTTTTTGGATTTTCATATTTTAAGGGGGGAAATAAAAATTAAAAAAATAAATAAAAATCAATAAAAAAGAATAAAAATAAATAGAAATAAATAGAAAAGAATGAAAATAAATAAAAATAAATCAAAATAAATAAATAAAAATATAAAAATAAATAAAAATTAATAAAAATAAATAAAAATAAATAAAAATAAATAAAAATAAATAAAAATAAATAAAAATAAATAAAAATAAATAAAAATAAATAAAAATAAATAAAAATAAATAAAAATAAATATAAATAAATAAAAATAAATAAAAATAAATAAAAATAATTAAAAATAAATAAAAATAAATAAAAATAAATAAAAATAAATAAAAATAAATAAAAATAAATAAAAATAAATAAAAATAAATAAAAATTAATAAAAATTAATAAAAATTAATAAAAATAAAAAAAAATAAATAAAAATAAATAACAAAGTGAAACTTCTTGCAAACTGTTATGAGATGAGTGAATTGATAAAAACGACATATCTCGATGTACCGATTCTTGACAAACTAAGGGCTCCTTTTCTCATGGAGTTTTAGGTGGCCTTTTAGTTATTCAATTTTGTAAGTAATCTGGTGATATTGGCAGATGAGAGCCATACCAGAAATGTGGTATACAAAGACAATCTTAATTAGATTACTATACCTAAATATTAGATTACCCTACAACTCTAATATATAATCCTATCACATACATATCATGAACACTAAAAAACATATTAGTGCTCCTTTTTTGGG